TTATCAGCTTTCCTCCAGGGAATACCGAGCACCAGAAAATCACTTATCTCCTTCACTGTCAAGCCTCCCCTGATAGGCAGCCCATCAATAATTATTTAAGCTATTTTCTAGATTTAAATGGTGGGGGTGGGGGGTGGTCTAACATGGGTGGAGTACCGACCAAGATAGACAGGAATTGGCAATTGTTGAAGCTGAGCGTTGGGCAAATAGAAGCTCATTATACTCTTTTTTTTTTTTTTTCCATTTTGGGGTATGTTTCAAATCTTCCATAACATAGAAGTTTTGAAACAAAGGTTTCAGGAGAACACAGCTACAACCTGAAAACAAAATCGGGTGCTCAACCCTCCCCCTGCAGTATCTGGACACAGAAGAATCTGGAAAGTGCTCAGATCGACAGCCTCCAGGGTTCCGGCAGTCCCAAGACAGAGACCGTATCTTCGAGGCATTACACTCAGTGTCCTCAACAAACCACCTTTGAAAAATTCCCTAGAACTTTTCAGAATTATTCTGGCAAGACCCAGCTTCCCTTCTTGGCCTATAAACCCTTGTGCCTCCACAAATTACCCTGACAACCTCAACCACTCCAAGGGCCTCTACATCCTGTTCCAGACTACCGTGTTGAGCAATCCAGTTATTGAAATAGCTCCTGGTGGCAGACGAGCGCCTGTTAAGCTGCTTCTCCCTCCTGCAAGTCAGAAGCAAGGGTGCTGTTATCACTTTCAAGAAGCCAAGGAACACTTTATATTTTCTTCTTCCTCTTCCTTCTAACCTCAATTTGCTCCTAATAAGAAACTGTTTTCACTATTTAAAATGGACTTTTTCAACCCCAACCCTATGAGCATCTCAGCGTTTCCTGTTAGGGGGGCCAGCCTGTGCATTGTGAGGTGTTCAGCAGCTTCCCTGGTCTCTGCCCACTGGATGCCCATAGCATGTACACTGTCACCAGCTGCCACAACCAAAAATGTCTCAAGACGTTGCCAAGAGTTCCTTAGGGGGTGAAATCGCCCCTGGTTGAAAACCACTGGACCAAAAGATAGTGAAAAACCAAGATCAATAGTGTCCTGGCAAAAAAAAGAAAGAAATTGAGATATACAGTTTATTTCCACATACCCTATTAGATAACATATTTCAATGTATATATTTATAAATAAGAACACTGAAGAAATATCACATCCCAAGTCAGAAACACATAAAGGAACAAGAGAAAAATGAACTCATAATGCTTGCAACTATTTCTTCTGTCTTTGTGGCTTCCTGTGTAAATCTTATTTGTTTCCTCCAGATTATTCTGTTTTCAAGTCAATGCAGACATCATTTCATGGCAAGTCCTCTCTAAAGTGTTGGGAGGGGAAACTCCTAATGCCCCTCTGAGCACTCCCTGTGAGGTGTGCTGGCCTTCCAGCACTAGTCGACAGGTGTCACTGAAGAACAGTAGCCCCCAGAGAAGATTTCCCCAAGAAATCAGAAGAAAAGTGCCTGGAACACATCCTCCCGGTAGAGCTTCAAATACCAATAGATTGCCATCATGGCCAAGAAGCAAAACAAAAGGCTAAGCAAGCAGCATGCGAGGTGACAACACCCAAGGGGAAATACTATTCTATTTCTTCATTACACAGAGGGAGTTTCCCGTGGTACACTCCCCCGCTAAGAAGAAAGAAAATCTGCTCTCTGCTCTATATTCTGCACAGATCTTACACTAGTCAGTCTATTATTCAGCTTCGGAGGATTTACATACAAAGCTGTGTCTCCTGACCCCACAGAGATGTTAATATGTTCCTCCTCTCTGATGCTATGGACAGGCAGGTGCTGGGCGCAGGGGATTCTGTCTTTTGGGCTCCATTCCTCCCGCAATCCCACTTCACTGCCTGTCTCAGCCTGGATCCCCTCAATCCTAGATTCTGGCCAAGGCCTCCTAACTGATCTCCCTGGTTGAGAGTTTCCCTTCAAACCCAGGTTTCACACGGACAATGATCTTTCAAGGGCACAAGCCAGAAGAGGCCAGAATCCTGCCGTTTCTCGCTCCCTATCACTGGATACAATCCCAGCTTCTTTGGCGCACATTTGCGAAGCACAACAAATGGATGGCCCAGGAGGTGTCCAAACAGGAGCAGGATGAGCACTGAGTGAAACAGGTGTGCACCCGTGGGGGATTCATCCACTGGATAGGTGGTGAAGGGAGGAAGGGAAGAGGGTGTTAGATGCAAGGACCTTAAAGTTTCCTTTTAATCCTGACTTGCCATGATGCTGGGAACTCCTGGATCTGCCATTCAGGTCCTGCCATCTGACCCCAAGCCTCCTGCAATGTGATACTAAATGATCATCCATGAATGCTCCTGAAGTAGTCCAGCACATGGTACCCCACTTCCATAAGATAACTTCTTTTCTGCTTGTCTTTTTTTTTTTTAATTACAAAGGAATGGTTTTGGGGGTAACAGAATAAAACAGTCCTGAGATATTTTAAGACGAAGTGTCTCAACGACTGCACTCCCATGCTGACTACTTCCAAGCGTACGACATGTGCCCTCCAACCCTCTTCCATAACACATACACACACAGATACACACCCCACTTGTTTGATACTTGATCTTATAGTGTGCCTTAGGGAGGAAAAGATTTAATTCTTGCATGCATTGACTCATCTCTCTAGCTCCCCAAGAGGTTAAGCCTGGTTAGTTCATCTGCTTCAATTGCAATTATCCCACCAGTGAGGAAATGGGAGGCAGGGAGATCAGGTACCCACCTCAAAATCACAGATTAGTTGGGAACAGAGTTAAGATCAGAATAAGAACTCCTACCTCAGTGTTCATTATTACACTGTAAGTGCTCTTCTCCACAAAGCGCAGAGCACGTTCAGGAAGCAAGTAGAAATAAATACTTGGGGAAAAAATAACCTACAGAGGCAGGAGAGCACAGTGGTTAAGTACTTGGACTCTGAACTCGGGCTGCTGTCATTAGGAGGTAGCTGTCATTTACTTGGGGCTTAACTGGGGGCTCAGACAGTAAAGACTCCCCCTGCAGTGCAGGAGAACGGGAGTTCGATTCCTGGGTCAGGAAGATCCTCTGGAGAAGGGAATGGCAACCCACTCCAGTATTCTTGCCTGGAGAATTCCATGGACAGAGGAGTCTGGCGGGCTACAGTCCACGGGGTTGCAAAATTTACTTAACTATGTGATCTGAGTCAATCAACTGGGCCCCAACTTCACTGTCTGAAACTGGGGTAATGAGAGTACCTCCTTTACAGGGTTGTTGTGAGAATTAGATAAGCTAATACCTATAAAGCACCCAAAACAATGCCTGCTACCCATGCTAATAAAATCAGCATTATAGTTCTAATATAGCCCCGAAAATACAGTAAATATCATCCTTCTTATAATTAAGTCTGGAAAGTCAAAATTAAATCTTGTTTACTTTGTTCCTTGTTCAAAAAGAAATTAGCATGGGGGAAAAACTCATATGCTTATTAGTCCACAAAAATTTAAGTGACACAGTGACTGAAATCATTTCTACAAAGAGGAATGACCTCATAATGACCTCATAGATCAAACGCACTGTAATATCTACCGTGCCAAAGAATAAAAAACCTTAACAGCCTCTAGCAGTAATTATCTAAGTAAAGTGGACTGCAAATCTGTTGGAGAATTGTTTTTGCCATGATAATATTTTGAGTAAATTGCTGCTTCTATACTAAAAGTACTGGTGTTGCAGAACTGGCATACTAATAGAAAGATTATTAAAGAAAACTATTAAAATGAATTAGGTATTATTAAAGATTCAATACTACAACAGTGCCTGATTACAAGAGATTTCAAGCTATATTGCTTAATGGGCAGATAAAAGTGCTAATTAAGCCCACTCTTAGAGGATGTCCCTAGGCAGGTCTACAAACCACAGGCAGCAAGGAAGATCTCCCCAGAAGATGGGGAGAGATCAGGAAGAGCCAAGAGAGGTAACCTGGTAAAGCACACAACCATCCAACTTTTTTGAATCTCAGGATTTTTGTTTGTTTTTTAACTGCTTTGTCAGCAACACTTCTAATTGCTCCTTTGCTTAAGTGAAGAGATCCAAATAACCCACCATAGATTGGCGACCCTTAATAAACAGTATAAGCAGGGAGGGGCAGAGAAAGCCTTGCCATGATCACCAAAGCCTTCTCAGGCATCCAGAAGACACTGAAGAGCTCTCAGGGCAGCACCTCGGCCAAAAGCATCTCTCACCGCAAACAGCTTAAAGCTCTCAGTGGTTCTTAAAAGAGTTGCTAGACTAAAGGCATCAGCCATGCGTTTCAGGATCTATTTTGCTTTCCCACCTTGTTAATTAACTAATCAGGGATGGCAAAGCGCCTCACAAATATAAAGTGTCAGGGAAATGCTAAGTAAATTCACCTACATGTTCTATCAACGCTCAATTAGGAAAGGGGGAAGAGCTAGAGGCTCAGCTGTCCCCAGAATGCTGCAAGCCAAGGGCCAGCTAACGTGAAGGCGGAGAGACCCGTGTGCCCTGCAGCAGCCTCCAGCCCAGAGCAGGGCTCTCGGCAGGACTTCTGGAAAGGAAATCTGGACCAGGGCCACCCGGGGCAAAGGCAAAGCTGCTGGAGAGGCGCATCCTCGCGGTGCAGTCTCCATCTCCCCGCATCGCTCAGATGTCAACAAACCCGGACCACAAAGTGAAACTTTCCGGGCCCCCGCTGTCGCGCTGGGTGTCTGTCCTTTGCCTGGGAGCGCGACGCGGGGACAGGTGTGGGGCCGAGGCTCAGGAAGGGACCCCCGCCCCCAGCCCCAGCGATTGTGTAATCGACCTGAGAAGGGGGTTCTCGGGACCAGCCCCACGCCGGGATGCGGAGGCGCGGCCCGGGGACCCGTCTGCAGGCGCGGCGCCGGGAGGTGTGAGGGGGATGGGGAAGACGGTCGTCCCGCCCCCCGGGACCGCCCCCGGGAGGCAAGGGGAGCCGCGGAGCTGACACAGCCCGGAGGGGGCGCCCGCGCGGCGGACAGCTGCCGAGCTTAGGGACGCGATGGCTCGGCAGTGCGGCCGGCCTTACCTGCGCGCCGGCCCGGCACGGCGGAAGGCGGTTCGGGATGCCGAGGCGGCGGACGGCGGTCAGCAGCGCCGGCAGCCACCGGGCCACGGCATGTAAGGAACCGCGGCGGCAGCGGCGGGCGCGGGACTGACAGCACCAAGCCCCGCCTCCAGGCCCCGGGCCCCGCCCCCTCCGCGGCCGCGCAGCTGGCCCCGCCTTCTCCGCCCACCGCCGGGGTCAAGCTCGGTCCACCAGCCCGGGGGGGCGGGGACTTTCGCTTCCGATTGGTCCGGGAGGTAACCGCCCCGCCCACTCCACCGCCCCATCCTTGGCACGAACCGGCGCGTGCGCAGTGGCTACGATGGGCAAAGCATAGCGCTGAGTGCTGGCGTAGTTGGTCCCCCACCTCTTGTGCTGGGCATCTTACTTTATCCGGCACGACTAGGAGCCGTGGGTAACCTGAGGAACCAGAAGTCAGACTCAAGCTCCACGGTGAATTGTCTTTATTCACCTATGAAGGAATCTACGGGAAATAAAACAGAATGGGCCAGACTCTAACCAAAGAAGACCCCCAAACTAGAAACTGCTGCAAAAAAAACGTACCACTGGCCCGGATGCATCTGCGCCAGGTCCGGGGGTGCTTTATTCACGCGCTGGATTCTATCCCTGGTCAACAAGTATGATGTTTGTGCGGAGGGTCCAGCAGTTATGAAGCGAGGTTAGGGCATTAAGGTTGTGCCAACAGAGAAAGTGAGGGATGCTGAAGAAGGTAGCCCTTCTCCAGCCCCAGCTTTCTTCTCCCCAGCCCCTCCCTGTATCTGTCACCGCTCCCTCTGTGCCACCCTCAGCCTGTAAACAAGACCAAGTCTCTCTCAACAAGAATCAATTTTGACCCAGCCATTCCACTCCTAAGTACTACTCAAGGGAATTGAAAACTTATATCTACCCAATAACTTGTACAGAAATGTCATAATGACCCAAAAGCATATTCGTAATGACCCAAAACCATATTCGTAATAACCCAAAAGTCAAACACTCGAACGCCCATTGTTTGATGACTAGATAAACAAATTATGATTTATCCATACAATGGAATTTCTCTGGGCTATGAAAAGAACTGAAGTACTGATCCCTGCTATAATTTGGAGGAACCTGAAAACGAAGTGAAAGAAGCCGGGCACAAAAGATCAGATTGTATATAAGTCCACTTGTATGAAGTATCCAGAATAGGCAAATCTATAGAGACAGGAAATAGGATGGTGGTTGCCAAAGGCTGGGGGAGGGGAAAATGGAGAGTGATTGCAAATGGGCATGGAGTTTCTTCTGGGGTAATGAAAATGATCTGGAGTTAAGAGTGATGATGGCACAATTTTGTGAATATATTAAAAACCACTGAATAATACATTTTAAAAGAATGAATGTTATGGTATGTTAATTATCTCAATTTTTTTAAAAACCGAACTACAGTTTAAAAAAAAAAACCCACATCTAAATACCTTGAGGCTGTACGCCTCCCAGTTATCATGCACTTTCCCAGCCTTTCTCATCCAAGATTCGTGCACGGGTGGTCTGCATGTTTTTGTTCCTACTTCCTTTTCTCCCATTTATATTAATTCCATAGAATGTGACTTCTGCCTGCACTAGAGCTCAAAGCTGCTCTCTCCCTAAATCCTGCAGCTTTCTATGACTCTGAACATTCCCAGTTCTCCCCCTTCTCTCCATTCTATCTTTTGATCTTCCTTTCCTTGGCAAATCTATTTTAAATATTGATGTTTTCCATGGCTCATCACAAAATCCTTCCTATGTTCTACCATCCACGTCCATGAGTTCAGTTGCTGTGCTTCAAATTTGTACATCCATCTGATGTCCCACAATTTTCTCAAACTCCATGTGCCCTAGTAATTTAGGACAACCCCCAACTCCCAATCCCCCACGCTACTGTCTTTCTAATAGTGATGTCTATCACTGCATGCTGGGACCTGGAAATCATCCTGGATTCTTCCCTCATTCTTCTATAGTCAACCACCAGTCTTTATCCAGTAGATGTCCTTAAATCCCACTATTCTTCTCTGTTCCTATTACCACAGCACTGGTCCACATTCCCTCATAATTTAATTCTCTTCATCTTTTGTCTCCTTCAAATCCAGCTCCCAAACAGCTGTTAAGGTAGTTGCCCACTGCTTTAGCTGACATAGTGAGCATTCCTGTTTCTTACGATGGTGGTTAGTCACTCAGTCATGTCCAGCTCTTTGCAACCCCATGGACTGTAGCCTGCCAGGCACCTCTGTCCATGGAATTCTCCAGGCAAGTATACTGGAGTGGATTGCCATTCCCTTCTCCAGAGCATCTTACAGACCAGGGTTTGAACCTGGGCCTCCTGCATTACAGGCAGATTCTTTACCATCTGAGCCACCAGGAAAGCCCTCTTATGATGGTAATACTCTGATTTTGCTTTAAGAACTCACCCTTCCCCTCCCTTGGTGAGACTGCCAATCAAGATGCCAACTTTACCTGGTTCTGGCTGGATGTGCCCTTGAGAATACAGCATCCTTCTTCTAAAGTTTGAATAAAATAATAGTAAAAAAAAATTGAAGGTGTTTGCACCTGATTTTCCCTGACCGAGGAGCCTGCCAGTTGATTCCTAATAATTCTGTCCTGGGAAGTCCTTTCAGAGCCTGGGTGCTGTAGCTTTTCCTTCAGTTTTCTGAATAAATCCCATAGCTCTCCAATGAATTCCATTTTTGGAAGTTAATCAGAGTTGCCTGCAGCCATAGAACCCAAGGTATACAGTAATATGTTTAAGACACAAACCATGCCTTTCCCTACCTAAAATTGTCTAGAGGCATCCTATCCCCATGGGATAGACTCCAAGCTTCTTGACCCAATCCCTGCCTGGCCTTCCCATGTCTTCTTTCTCTGCTCCCTGCCAGGCCCTTCTGAATTATTGGAGTTTCTTAAAAATTTGCTATAAGGCTTCAGGCCTCAACATTTTTTTTTCATTTATTAGTTGGAGGCTAATTACTTTAAAATATTGTAGTGGTTTTTGTCATACATTGACATGAATCAGCCATGGATTTACATGTACTCTCCATCCCAATCCCCTCTTCCACCTCCCTCTCTACCCGATCCCTCTGGGTCTTCCCATTGCACCAGGCCTGAGCACTTGTCTCATGCATCCAACCTGGGCTGATGATCTGTTTCACCCTAGATAATATACATGTTTCGATGCTGTTCTCTCGAAGCATCCCACCCTCACCTTCTCCCACAGAGTCCAAAAGTCTGTTCTGTACATCTGTGTCTCTCTTTCTGTTTTGCATATAGGGTTATCATTACCATCTTTCTAAATTCCATATATATGTGTTAGTATACTGTATTGGTGTTTATCTTTCTGGCTTACTTCACTCTGTATAATGGGCTCCAGTTTCATCCATCCCATTAGAACTGATTCAAATGAATTCTTTTTAATGGCTGAGTAATATTCCATGGTGTATATGTACAACAGCTTCCTTATCCATTTGTCTGCTGATGGGCATTTAGGTTGCTTCCATGTCCTGGCTATTATAAACAGTGCTGTGATGAACATTGGGGTGCACGTGTCTCTTTCAGATCTGGTTTCCTTGGTGTGTATGCCCAGAAGTGGGATTGCTGGGTCATATGGCAGTTCTATTTCCAGTTTTTTAAGAAATCTCCACACTGTTCTCCATAGTGGCTATACTAGTTTGCATTCCCACCAACAGTGTAAAAGGGTTCCCTTTTCTCCACACCCTCCAGCATTTATTGCTTGTAGACTTTTGGATAGCAGCCATCCTGACTGGCATGTAATGGTACCTCATTGTGGTTTTGATTTGCATTTCTCTAATAATGAGTGATGTTGAGCATCTTTTCATGTGTTTGTTAGCCATCTGTATGTCTTCTTTGGAGAAATGTCTGTTTAGTTCTTTGCAGGCCTCAACATTTTTGAGTGCCCTCTGTAGAAGAGCCTTCCCTATTTTCCCCCAGCTAACTTCAACCATTCTTTAAGGAGTTCTCCTTCAGAAAGCCTTCCCTACTCCCAGTATTCTGCTTCCTCCATGTCCTCAAACACCCTATTCTTTCAGCTGTTACTATACTTAATGCTGTAGTATTTTACTTACCCATTTCTATCTTCCTCTACCACTAAACCTCACATTCCTAAGGGCTATACCCTTCTCTGTCGTATCCTTCGTGCTTAGCACAGTGCCTGGCATGTGGCAGGTGCTCAGACCTTTCCTTTCTTCTTCTTCGCCTCTGTAGTTGCTGAATAAGTGAAATGGATCTTGCTAGGGACATTAACAAGCATTTTCCCCAGAGACATGAAAAGCAGAAATTCAGGCCTAAAGCACCTCATACCATTGCCCCCAAACTGTATTCCAACTCCAAAAAATGTTCCAGAAGATGGCTAAAATATCATTACGGTTAAAGGGTATTTATTTAAATGATACAGCTCTCATCTCTAAAATCTACTCAATTTCTCCTGAAAGCCTTCATGGCTTAATGAGATGCAAAATTAAGTAACTTAGACAATTGTATTCATTATTGTGACTAAATAGCAAGGTGTGTTTTTTTGTAATCATAGCTGAAGAATAAACAACATGAAAACCAAATCCATAGTTCTATCTTGATGTCTACTGTGAAACATGTACTACCTTAAGAGGAATTATAGAACCAGCCATATGCAACTGTTGAGTGAGGAGAGCTGGGTTCTAGTTTCAACTTAGCCATGACCATCTACTTGATCTTGGGTAAGTCATTGCTCTTGGCTGCTTGCAGTCAGTCTCTCCCGTATCTATTCCTCCGTTGTCCCATCACCAGACCCACAAAATTTCTTTGGAAAACCACTTTTTCTCCATTCAAATCCGTATGATCCCACCTAACCTGACCCAGGCTTCCCTGGTGGCTCAGACGGTAAAGAATCTGCCTGCAGTGTGGGAGACATGGGTTCGATCCCTGAGTTGGGAAGATCCCCTGGAGGAGAGCATCGCAACCCACTCCAGCATTCTTGCCTGGAAAATCCCCATGGACAGAGCAGCCTGGCGGGCTACAGTCCATGGGGTCGCAAAGAGTTGGACACAACTAAGGGACTATGCACACACAAGCTGACCCCAAACTCCAGGGACTTAAATCTATCGTTACACATCATTTAGCTACAGAAAGTAGTTCAAAGGCAGACATTAAATTCAGTCAAAGCAATGAGATTTGAGAAGACCATTTCAAGGACTTCTGAAAAAGAGAAGATTCCTCTCCTGCTGTAGCTCCTATCAATTATATAAGGTCTAGAATTAATGCAACCACATGTGACGACAAGGATGGAGACTAGATTCCCAGACAGTGGATGAGTATTGAGAAATGCATAATAGGAAAATGGAAAATAAACAAAACCTCAGCTGCATTGTTGAGTAGAGAGCAGCTAGACCAAGCCACACCTGAAACTGTTAGCCCAAACTCTCCAGTTACATGAGTCAATAAATTCCCTACATTGTTGGAGTTTGGTTTTCTGTCTATAACATAAGTTGTCCTAATAATAACACTTAACAACCTCTGTGGGTCTCCATATTCTCATAAATAAAATAAAGGTAATATGAATAATTTCTAGGAATTTGCCAACTCTCACATCCTGAGTCTCCAAAGGGTTAATATATTTATCAAGATGTAAGTACATTATAATTTCCTAGTAAGCACTAAGGAAATTAAGACTTTCTAATTCAAGCCAACAAAAGATAGCTGAGACTAAAAATGAAAACAAAAATCCTTAATCTTTAACCTATGCCAAGGGTTACCCTGATCTCCACCCTCTCCCACTATACTTCAGCCACTTCTTCCTGTACTCTGAGAATACCTATTGAAGAAGGGGTGATCTAAAGAAAGCACCTAGGTGGCCCTGCTTTACGAGACCTCGGATTCTTGTTGGTGATGCCCGTGGCCTTGGAACCCTTGTTCAGATTCTAACCTCTTCTGCTTGAACTCTTTGACCTGAACCCTTCCATTTGCCTTCTCTCCCTCTCCAGATCTGACCTCTGAGTCATATTTTTCACTTGCCAGCCTTCCCTCACTTCTGCATTCCCAGGCCTGACCACCTTCAATCGGCCGGAAGTGGTGATATATTAACCAACAATTCCAGAGCACAGATTCGTTTATTTGTAGAAACAAGACCTAGAGGAAGGAGACTGGGATGGGATGGTTATTTAATGGAGGAGAGTCACTTAATAAAAGAGATCAAGCACCTTAGAAGCCCAAAGTGTTGAGCAAATTGTTTGGTACAATGCACCAGCAGTTGTGTGTGAAAGGTTTCACTTACGGGATATGTAGCTCATTTACAATAATGCATTTGGACATGCAATTGTAGTCAACATCCTAATTTGAAAAAGCATTGTCTGGGTGCTTATTAGGTATGGCATTGGGGCTAAAGGCACTGGGAACCTCAGGAAGAGGCGATATGGAAAGAATCCAGGTTGCTTTCCTGGAGATGGAAATTAAGAGCATGCTGCTAGTGAAGTTTGTCCTTTGTTCTGGCTTTTCAAGATTCATGGGGAAAGGTCTTCAGCACAATTCTGATTGATTCCTTTAACATTTTATGACCAGATCACCTTTGTATACTGAGACGACTAAGACTATGTTCCTATCCTCCAGGAGCTCAGGAACTCGGGCAGGAAATGGCCGCTGGATCAGACAGGTTACAGCACTGGCTCATCTAAACAGAAAACCCATCAGCAAGGGAGTCCAGGTGACACAGTTTATAGGGATCAGCCTCCCGGGGAAAGAATAAGCAGAGAAGCTGGATAGTGATGTTATTTAGTCCCTAAGTCTTGTCTGCTCTTCTGCAGCCCCATGGACTGTAGCCCGCCAGGCTCCTCCGTCCATGGGATTTCCCAGGCAAGAGTACTGGAGATACTGGAGTGGGTTGCCATTTCCTTCTCCAGGGGGTCTTCCTAAGCTAGGGATCAAACCTGCATCTCCTGCATTGGCAGGCAGATTCTTTACCAGTGAGCCACCAGGGAAGCCAAGAGAATGGAGATAGCAGCATAAATACAGAATAATCAGTTCACTCTACCCCAATTACCATCCAGCTGCCATTTCTGCTTTTCATTTGAGTGATGAAAATCTCATCCCAAACACAAGGAAACACAAGTGTCATCAGCCACTGTATTATCATTGGTGATGTCAAGTGTACTCCCACCTGGAATCTAAATTTTGTGGTTAGGTACCACCAGTATTCTTCATATAAAGTAGTTGGGAAGGAGGAAGAGAAAAAAGGAATAAAGTAACATAAATATGACAATTAGAGTCAGCACTTCTGTAGTTTGTCTTGAAGCCAGAGCTCATAATAAATCATGACTTCCTTCTTCAATTATCCGTTCTGTGTTCATCTTACCCTGTACCAGCAGCTCATCTGTTAAGGAGACCCAATCTTCATCTCAAAGTTACTGAACCCTTACTAATCCTCTCTGAGCTGGGTTGCCAGTTTCCCACTGAACTTTATTACTGGAATAGATTCTATAAAGTGACCCCATGGACCCTTTGAGTTCCAAGCAGTTTTTTCAGCCCTAGCACATAGCAGAAACCTGATTTCCTCTTGACAGTCAGGACAGTGATCCACTTCTTTTCCTGTTGATTCCGTGGCATGGGGAGTCCCCACGTGGTCAAGGACAAGCTCAGCTTCCAATCCATCAGAACCGAGGCTGAATTCCATGGTGGGAATACTCTTCTCTTAGAACCAACACCCCAAACCTGTGAAGTCCAAGATCATGGAGAAAGAAGTTCTATTAAGGAGAGTGTTCCTTGTAATTCTTAGAAGGACCACTCCTAACCCTTCCCTTTTGGTTGCTAGCCCATGTGTTTTTTGTTGCTATGGTGACAGCACCAGCTATTGACTGCTGATTTAAAGCCTACACTGCATCCTACAGGTAAGCTCAAGCCTTGCATGGGATCACATCCCAGATGGCTTTCTGGCCCTTCGCTACAGACACCTCAGAAGCCCTATATTGAAGATGACAGACATGCTGTCAGTCTTTTTTCCTGTATGACAATATGGAGCAGAGTTGCCTGCAGATTTCAGAATTATTGTATATGAAAGAAATGCATGCCTATGTTCTCTTTTTTTTTGTTTTTTTTTTTTCATTTATTTTTATTAGTTGGAGGCTAATTACATCAAGCCATTCTCCTTGTGGGGCAGGGGAGGGAGGGTCACTTTGGCTCTAAGATAGCAATCATGGCTGTTAGCACGGCCCCAGCTTGTGCTCTTTTTGATTGCATTGCAGGGGTGGTGGTGATGGGGGGGCAGGTACAGGGCAGGGAGTTTAGAAAGAGGAGAGCCTCTGACACTATAACCCATGTTCAAATCACCTGTTTGCTATACATTCCCCACAGGGCAATGCTATGCCTCAGCAAACCTCCCCTGGGCTTCAGTTGCAGGCACTGCTGTCGCTCAGGTGTTTCCCCTCAATGTCGGAGGGAAGACTGGGACACTCAGGTGGTGGTAGGACTGCTTGAACCTGCTCTGACTCACTCCTGCCCCATCTGGTCTACTGACTCTCCATTCTCAGCCAGCACTACTGGGGTCCTGCTCTTTCTCTGTCTTGAACAGATGAAGGGGTGGGCAGTAATCTGCCCAGAGAGAGAGAAAGAATTCAACTCAGCTAAAAGGCTTTCCCCTCACCTACTCCAGCCTCCTACCTAGCCCTCCTCAGTTCTGTATGGTTGTTAATCCTACAGAGGCACCCAACTACGTTCTGTCTCCCTAGAGGAGTCTCACCATCTTTCTGATGGTTTCTCAGATACATCATCCTCTCTCTCCCTTCTGTGGCTTTGTCGGGGAAAAGCTGAGTAACCAGTCCTAGTTCCCTGTCCTGTGCTGAGATGAGGTTTCAGAGGTAGTGGGGAGACAGGTCATGAAGAACCTGTAGCAGAAGGAGGTGAAGATGAATAGGAAGGTGTTTGCATAGCATATGATTTCATTTATATGCAATTTCCAAAATAGATCAATTTTGGAAAGAGAAAGAATGCCTGCCGACGAACGGTTTCCAGGGGCTCCAGGGAGGCAGGGATGGGGAGTGACTGCTTCATGGGTGGGAGGGTGGTAAAATGTTCCAGAACTAGACAGCGGTGATAGTTGCACAACATTGTGAGTGTACTAAATGCCACTGAATTGTATACTTTTAAAATGGCTAAGATGGTGCATTTCATGTTACGTGAATTTTATCACAATAAAAATAACAGGCTACTGGCCTTTAATTGGACAGAGAAGACACTCAAGAGTTCCAGGGTGACTCTGATGGAGACCAAAGTAAACAGAGCTGTAAGAGAATTATTTGACCTTGGAGTCCTTCTTGGATCATCTGTTCCCTTGAACATAGGGATAAATGAGAGTTAGGGAGAGAACAGGATGAGTAGAGGATGCTGACTCCAGAAAGGGGAGAAGAGCAGACATCCGGTACCTTTCCTGGATTCTCCTAATGTCAAGAATTTTCTGTTGTTTTTGTTCATGTGTTTGTTTGTGATTCCTCAGCATTCTGTCACCTCCTTATCTGGCAAGAATTCAAGCCAAGCAAGCAGGAGGTGGGTGGTGGACTCCTCCTTTGTAAATCTTGGCCAGAGGCAGGGACCTTCCTCCTAGTCCTCAGTCTGAGAAGGCCAGAAACTTTTCCTCTAAGCCCCATACCCCTGCTAACCATGCTGAACCTCAGACATCTGATTCAGCTCAGTTGATGGGCTATTCCTTCTGGAACTTCAAATCGTGGAGAGTGATGCAAAGACACAAAAGTAGGAGACTCACACCACCAAGCTCAAGGATGAGAATTCACTGGTGGCAGCAATGGGCTGAGTGTGGGGTTTTGGCATTGAAGTCCAGGGGCATCTGCACCTAGCAGCATCTCCACCACACTGACCTTGAAGGTGACCTTGACTGTGGCAGCCACGGCCTGCCCTCTCGTCATGGTTATCTTCCAAGACTTGTTTGCCAGCCTCCCTTCAATTCTCAAGCTACCTGACACCCTTCCAATAAATCCTTGACTGCTGCAGTTAGCCAGGACTTGTTTCTGCTACTTGTAACTAAGGACCCTGGAACATGGATGTTGCCTTACTGCCTCCCTCCCAGACTGAAAACATGGTGCATCCCAATTAAATGCAGACGGCTTCTTGCAAAACCGAAGTGCTCTCTGCACCTTGATTGTTGTGTGTGTATGTAGGAGTGTGTGCATTTCACTTTAAACATTACAGATATGAAAACAAAATGCATTTCCAGGCCTGTAACTATGGTGATGGGCAGAAAGAGGATTGCTCTAGCAATTAGAAGACCATGCCACACTAGTAACGCATCCTCAGGCTTCTTCTTTATGCGGGCAGACGTGATTTGTGAGCCCTTCTCCAGTGCTTAAGATTCTGTGATTCAGGAAATGCAAAGGAAATCGTTTATATTAGCAATGTGCCTGGGAAAACAAAGTATTCTTTCTCACAAACAGTTTCCGTCTGAGTCAGTGTCATACAGTGAAGACAACCTCAGTTGTCAATCTTGACTTCATCTATTAAATGAGGCACGGGCTTGCAGACAAGCAATAGAAGTTAACAAAAGTCTCATCTCCCTGTGGGGTAGACCATCTGCAGTAATCTTCCTAGTGAGAGTTCTCACGTGGAGCTTATCCCTATGATAACCCCATGGAGGAAATGCTATTTTACAGATAAAGTAGCATAGGCACAGAGGTTAGGTAATTTGCCCAGGGTCCACACAGCTAGTCAGTGACAGAACCAGGATTGAAACTCAAAGCTTCTGGCTCCAGAATCCAACTGCTGTGTGTGTGTGTGTGTGTGTGTGTTATAATACACATAACACAAAATTCACCATTTTAGCCATTTCAAGGTGTACAATTCAATGGCATTTAGTACACTAATAGAATCCATGCTTTTAATGTGACACTATGTTGCCAAAACTATATATGTCATGTGACTAAGCCATAAAAAAAGAATGAAATAATGCCACTTGTGGCAACATGGATGGACCTAGAGATTATCATATTAAGTGAAGTAAACCAGAGAAAAACAAGTATATGATATTACTTATGTATGGAATCTAAAACAATGATACAAATGAACTTATTTATAAAACAGAAATAGACTCACATTCATAGAAAACAAACTTATGGTTACCAAAGCGGTAAGTGGGGAGGCATAAATTAGGAGCTTGGGGTTAACAGATACACATTAATATATACAAAATGGGTAAACAACAAGGATTTACTGTGTAGCCCAGAGAAACAAACTCAAGATCTAGTAATAACCTACAGTAGAAGAGGAGGGATAGATACACATGTGTCCATATAACTGAATTGCTTTGCTATACATTTGAAACTAACACAACATTGTAAATTAACTATATTTTAATTTTTAAAAGCGATATATGTCATCAAGTAAACAAATCCAATTTGCCTTCAGTTCTAGAGACTGAGAAACTATGAGATGCAGCGGTCGGTGCTTTCATCCACTCCCTAAATTCGTTGGTAGCAGTGTAATTTCCCAGTGACAGTTTCAGAGCTGTGGTGTGATTCATGGTATCAGGTAGCTTCTACTTCTAATCCACTCTGCCTCCACAAAGGCAGCATCTACCCTTTTTTGATGACTTTATTTATCTTCTGGCTGTGCTGGGTCTTCATGGCTGTGTGGGCTTCTCTCTAGTTGCAGTGAGTGGCGGCTGCTCTCTAGATGTCGTGTGAGGACTTCTAATAGCAGTGGCCTATCTTGTTGCAGAGCACCGGCTCCAGGGCGTGCAAGCTTCAGTGGCTGGTGCAGTCATTGTGAGTTCCAGGCTCTAGAGCACCGGCTCAGTAGTTGTGGCCCACAGGCTCCGTTGCTTCGCAACATATGAGATGGTCCCAGGGATCAAACCCATGTCTCCTGCATTGGCAGACAGATTCTTTACCACTGAGCCACCAGGGAAACCCCGGCTGCATCTAATCTTAATAAATCTCAAAAGATGAGTTTCCATCACACTTTAACATTTCAGTGGAGGATCTAGCAAGAGAACACTTCCTCTGAGGGCTGGTCCCACCTTTTAACAACATCCTATCTTCAGAAAGTCCTGACCTACATCCCCTTTCACATTTGGAAGCTTTCAACTTTAATCCTGACTTTGGGGACAGAGGGGAAGGTGTTGAAAAGAGATGGTCTCCCTCTGCAGTGATCCTCCATGTTGATGGAATATCTGAATCACCAAGTTCTGACCATGTGTGGCTTTGGGAAAACGATCAAGGCTTCTCTAGTCTCTCTGTGACACTCATTCACTCAACAACTATTGATGGCATCTGTTTGTGGCAGCGCTAAGCTGAACCCTGGAAGCAGAGAGGGCTGGAGGGGTCACCGGGAGCAGGGTGGTGATGAATAGGAGCCAGTGGTCCTCAGCCTTGTTGGGCTAAGAGTCACCTAATGGAGCTTCTCAAAATACAGTGTTCACTCTCATTGGATTCTGATATCTGAGTGGAGGCTGAAGTGGTAAGTGAACTTGAGCGACACATGCTTCAAAAACTCTGTTGCATGAAAGGTATCAACTTCCAGTTACAAGACTAATAAGTACTAGGGATGTGGTGTACAACTTGATAAATATAACTAATACTGCTGCATGTTATACATGAAAGTTGTTGAGAGTCAATCCTAAGAGTTCTCATCCCAAGGAAAAATTTTTCTCTATTTCTTTAATCTTGTATCTCTATAAGAGGATGGATGTTCACTAAACTTATTGTGATAATCATTTCATATATATGCAGGTCAAATTATTATGCTGTACATCTTAAACTTATACAGTGCTACATGTCAATGTTATCTCAATAAAACTGGAAGAAAAAAACAATTCAAGTTTTAAAAATTCTCTCCCAAATGTATTTCATCTTCCTTATCCTGCCCCCTTGCCATCCACCACTGCCCAAAATCTCACCCCAAATACATTTATTCTTTCAGAACCATTGGAATTAATGATCTCTGAAACTACTTTGAGCTCAGAGTAAGATTCTGTGGTTCATTCATTAATATACTTCTCAAGTCAACATTTACTGAGTACTTCCTCTGTGCCAAGCACTGGAGATACAGGGTGGATAAGACCTAGGTAGATACTGTCCCTAAGCCCAGGAAGCTCTCCATCTGGTTGGTGCAGACAGACAAGCAAACCAACAGCTTCTATATAACATGAGAATCCTGGAACACAGGGGGGCATTTTATGAGTTGAATGCCCCTCAAATTTCATGCTCCAGAATAAGTGATTCCTTTGTCTTCTTTTCATAGTTCCTATTTCCTGATGATCAAACTCAATCAGGTAAGAAACATCTGACAAATCCTAACCCTAATGCATCTACCTTCCTTCTGGTTTCAGATACAAGGAATATTCTCCCAAGCATCTTGCACCAGTCACAAACTCTGCATGCTAACACTCCTCTACCCAAAGGCCATTTTAATGAGGAGCCCAGTTCAGGCATCACTATAGAACATTAATATTCATGGTTAGTATTTGTAAAAAGCCTTTATTTCAATCTTTTTTTTCTGTTGAGGGGGAAAGTCTTAAAGTGGCCAGAAATTCCCAATTCCTGTATATCCTCCCTGGGCCTCTATTTTCAGAGGGGTTTTTTTTTTTTTTTTTTTTGGCTTCCATTATTTCATCAGGGTTGGCAAGGAAAGTTAGTTCTGCTCCTGTCCAAATGTTAAATGGATACTCATGTGTCTCTTTGCCACACTGGTATAATTAATTTTATTGCAAATAGGATTTTTCTTTTTTTCCCCTTTGCATGCAAATGTGGTACCCTTTCAGTGTTTGCATAATAGCAGTAATTCTTTCATTTGTACAAAAGGACATGCATTATTTTGGCAGATAGATGGAGCTTTGATGGAGAGATTATTACATTTCCAAAAGCAAAGAGAATAAATCAGAATTTAGCCAGACGCTGACTACACACCCCCTCCCCCCAGCTGCACTTTTCATCCACTAAATGTCTGACACACTACACTTTCCTTCCAAATAATAAGCCTTCCAGCCAGCAAGTAGTTCTCCACTCTTTGCCCTGCTCACCTGGGTTTTCCTCCACGCTGGCTTCTGTTTGGGTTTGGCCAATGAGAGGCAGCAGCATGAAAAGGGAGGCTGGGAACAGAGAGAGGCTGGAGTAATTACTCCTCATTTTCCTTCCTTGCTTGCTGGAGCTCAGGCAGTGGCTGTGCTCCCCATAAGACTGTGGTCCAGCTCTCACTGGACTTTGGTAAGCCCATACCTTCTTCTTGCTGCTCCAGGCTAGCCCTGGGAACCTCACTACCCTACCCTGGCTAACCCTGCCCACATCTAAATGATCCTTTTTGCTCAACCCCTTAGAGTGAGCCATCTCCTTGCTTCCAGGACACTGAGAAAATCACCACATTCCTAAGATGTCGCTTAGCTCACTATGAACACACACACACACGCACAGCACAGAGAAGCCCCAAACCACTGAGGTATGGAGGCGTCTATACGGCTTCCCAGAGTTTTTAGGAATCCCGTCAAGCAGAAGAGACATCTTCCCTTGAAGTGTCCAGACTCACCAAAGTCATGTAGAAATAGTCAATACCTGTTGTTTTGCCTGCCTGTCACTGGCCCCCTTTCTAGGGTCACAGTCCCCTGATTTTCCTTGAGAAGCCATCTCATCCCTTCTCTTGGAACATGTGATTGGGTGGGGCTGTTCTCACCCTCAGCTCAGAAGAAATAGAGATCCTAGCTTGGCCACTCAGAACATCACCTACCTCAGGCCCCGTTGTTGGTTCAGGGATGGGCATGGGATCTAAGCCAGGCCAATGAAAACCACTAGGATGAAATTCTGGGAATTTGCCTGGGGCAGCTAGGGAAAAGGATGCTTTTCTGCCTCTGAGGTTGCTAGGGACATAAACCAAAGCTTTGGTGGCCGTCTGCCATGAGGCGCAGAGCCTGCCTGAGAAGTGA